AGACTAATTAACTAAACTAATTAGTTTTAATTATTAAAACATTTTAGTTAGTGGAATAAGCGATGGGGCCCGCGTGTCAGTGGCTGGGGCCTGCCCAGTCAGCACAGTTGACCAGGTCAACTGGTCAACTGGAGCTAGGGGGCCCACGGGCAGTGACCCAGAGGCGGGCCCTGCCGGTGCCAGGTCAGCACCCGCATCGGAGCAACGCCGGCGAGGCCATCCGCGGCGGCCGAACGCCGGAGACGGCCGGGATTTGCCCACAGGGGGCCAACACGGGCGCGAGCAGGCGCGTTCGAACAGCGAGAGCCCGCCGCGTCGCGTGGTGAGGTCAGCTGGGCTCGCGGCTGGCCGGAACTGCACCGGCAACGAGTGGAGGCGGCGGTGGGGTTCGGGACCTCGTCGAGAACACGCTACGGGGCACGGGGAGGGGCGCGGCAAGGCGTGTTCGAACGGCCACTCGGCCACGCATCAAGTGATGGTGGTGGTATCGCCGGACCTAGCCGGAAACGTCGCCGGCGACGAGGTCCGCGATGGAGCGGCTACAGTCAACGGCAGAAACGGAGCTACGACGCGCTATAGCTCAGGCGAAAGGGCTAGGCGCGTGCTGCGTGACGCGGAGAGGCTAACGGGCATACGCCCGTGACCATTTGGTCACCGGAGACTCGCCGGCGACGAGCTCCGCGGCGCTGCGTTCGGGTGTGCATGGGGAAAGTAGCTAGCGCGTGTGCGAGGACGGCCAGAGAGATGAGGGAGGAAGAGAGGCTCACCAAGTGGCTCACACGATGGCCCGTGGTGGTTTAGGAGCTGCAGAAACGTCGGAGAGGAGGGAGATCGCCGGCGACCGAGGCGGAAGGGGGCGGCTCGATCCGCGGCCAGTGGTGCTCCCTGGCTTCCGCTCGTGGACGGGGACGAGGTAGCCGACGATGGCAGAGCTGCTGGACAGGTCAGGAGGGCGAGACGGCTCCGGTGGCCGTGGTGATGATGGAGGATGGCAGCGGGCGCGCTCGGTTTGGAGAGAGGGGAGTGAGCGAGCGAGGAAGAGAGAAGGGGGGAATGGCGAGGCGTCCAGGGGGAGTGGATGTGGCGGTAGGTGAGGGGGAGGACTCGAGGCGTCCGAGGCGGTGACCTTATCCTCTCGCGGTGGGGGTTTTCACCAGCGAGGTGGTTCGGCGGGAACCAGCCCCTGTAGCGACACGGCTCGAGGAGCAGGAGAAGGCGACCCGGGAGGGGGAGTGGGCCGGCCTGCTGGGCCAGCTGGCTCGGGTGGGCCGAAGCCCAAGTGGGGCAGGGTCTCTCCCTCTCCTTCTTCTTTCCTTTTCCTTTTCCTTTTTGTTTTCTTTTATTTGCTCTGTTTTGCATTTTCTTTTAGTACCAAATGAGTTTTGTTTTGAACAAAACTTGGCATATAAAACTAAAACAATACCTTGAGATGGAACAAAAAGTTTGGGGGCAAAAGGAGTTGCCTAATTAATTTTAGAATTTGAAAAGTCCAATTTAAATGCTGCTGGAGTACTGAATTAATCCCCATGGGCATTTTGGGAATTCAGAAGAGGTTGGTTCCAACATGACAATTACTCAGTGATTATTTGCCACACTTTGAACATTTTAGTTTTCATGTTTGGCAAATTTGAATGTTTGACTTTGAATTTGAGTTTGAACATGAACAGTGATTTGGATCAAGTGAGGATTAGCAACAGTAGTGTGATGACATGGCACCATCAACAGGGGATTACTGTAGCATGACACTGGGGGTGTTACACCCGGCCCCTGCCCTGCGGGCAAGTCCTGTTGAGTCAGCTGCGCCCCTGCCTCCGCCCGGCCGCCCTCCTGCAAAGTCGGCGGGCTTCTGTCGGTTAGTCATCTTCCGGTTAGCGTGGCAACCAGTAGCAACTGATTTCGTACTTTAAAATACCCCAATTTCTTATTTAGGCTTTGCTTTTTTACCCTAATTTTGTGCACATGAACATATATTTATGCCTCAATTAGCTTTATTGATAAAAAGTAATTTTTATTACAGAATTTAATAATTAGGCTTCTTTATGCAAAGTAAGATTTAATTGAGAATTTTAGCGTGTTTGCATTTGTAAGACCATATTGATATTTTTCTTTGTGATATTGGTCTTTTGTTAGAACGTCACATGTCATGTCCGTATTAAAAAAATTGGGACGGACCACCCTATCGCCAAATGCTAGCTCCGCCACTGATCATAAGGTTCTCAATGAGGAAGGGCTTTGGAAAACCAACGAACGCAGCACATGCCTATTTTTTTAGTCCCACATCATTAGTTTAGCAACAATTGCAGGAATTTATAAATGCTCGCCTTCACAAGGCTACCACCAAGTAGAGTAGTACTCCCTTTGTAAAGGAGTATAAGAGTGTTTAGATCATCACTCTTATAATTTTTTTACAGAGGGAGTAGTAGAGAGTAGAGACTTGTAAAATGCGGTAGACCTATAGGTATAGGATAGGACATGGTGTGTACATGGTAT